AGGGCCAGAGGTTGAGAACCACTGCTCTAAGAGCTCATGCTTTCTTCCTTGCCCTTGGAGGGGAGATAGATGCTTCTAAACCAGCCGTGGGCAAACTACGGCCCGCGGGCCGGATCCGGCCCGTTTGAAATGAATAAAACTAAAAAAAAAAAAAAAAGACCGTACCCTTTTATGTAATGATGTTTACTTTGAATTTATATTAGTTCACACAAACACTCCATCCATGCTTTTGTTCCGGCCCTCCGGTCCAGTTTAAGAACCCATTGTGGCCCTCGAGTCAAAAAGTTTGCCCACCCCTGTTCTAAACAGTGGATGCTGTAGCTAAGAGTCCCCAAAATGCTAGCTCCAGCACTGGCATCCCATTCCCAGTATCCTGGGAAAACAGAGGCCTGGGGAGAAGACCAGAATCGCTGGGCTTTTCCCATCACTGGCTGTGTGCCTTTGGGTAAGTAGAACAACATCTCTGGACCTCAGTTTCCTCATGAGTGAAGTGGGAAAAACAATAGTATCTGACTCAAGAGCTATTGGTTAACAGCTTAATTGGGGTAGATTTACACACCATAAGATTCACCCATTTTAAGTGTACAATTCAAAGATGTTTGGTAAGTTTGCCAAGCTGTGCGACCACTGCAACATTTTGTTGTGAGAACATTTCCGTCACCTACAGAGACCTCTTGTGCCCACTTACCATCACTTTCATTGCCACCACCAGCCCCCATGCTACCACTAATCTACTTTCCGTCTCTGAATTTGCCTGTTAGGGATATTTCACATAAATTGGATCAACACACTATGCGGTCTTTTGCATCTGGCTCCTTTCGCTTAGCATAATGTTTCTGAGGTGTCAGCGTGTGAATCAGTACTGCATCCCTTTTACTGCTTTATTCCTCGTGATTCCATACAAATGCATACAAGCAGTGGGAGGCCCTCTGGTCTGCTCCACCTCCTAGCTGTGATGTAATGCTGCCGTGGACACTTGTGTACAGTTGTTTTGTGAACATGACTTGGTTTCTCTTGGCAGATACTTAGGAGTGAATACTAGGTCAAATGGCAAAACATGTAATCCTATCCTATATAATAAACAGCTAATATGCTAATTAGACTGAACAGCAGAATGACCATCTGGACAACCTTCGGGACGAAGCTGGAGCTGTGAGGGCCGAGGCAGCTGGGGCTGTGAGGGCCAAACCCCTTGCACGAATTTCATGCATCGGGCCTCTAGTATAATATATATCTCTCAACCATAAGATCCATCCCAATCTCAGAAAATGTAAAAAGTATAGCATAGGGAATAGACAATAATATTGTAATAACTACATATAGTGCCAAGCAGGTACTAAACTTTTGGGGGATCACTTCATAAGTTATATAAATAGCTAACCACTATGCCATACACCGGAAAGTAATATAGCACTGAATGTCAACTATACTTGAAAAAATTTTTTTAATTAATCTGAAAAAAATGAAGAAAAATAGAAATATCTACCATGCAAGTTTGTAAGAACATAAATGTTTCATAAAAGGCAGCCATTACTACTATTATCAACTCAGTTAGTCAAACTGCTTTGAGATTTCTCAAGTGCCTATGTTTATTGACATCAGTAAAGTGGCCCACAGCGGGGTTGTTGTGTGTTGCATTTTTTGCCCACACGGAAATAGGAACAGACTGAGTTCAAGGCCCTGGGAATACTGTGGGGGGTGTCGGACTGTCCTGGAAGGCTCTTCCCAGCACAGACCTTGTGTGTTCACACGTGTCCAGTAAGTACTTAAATAATGAGTTCTGTGCTTAGCGCTGAACCGGTTCTCAGTGGAAGGCAGCGTGCTCGCAGGTCACCTCATCCCGAGCAGACGCTGCAGTTACAGGTGAGAAACCGTGCGGCGTGTTACCGGACTCATCCCTGGACTTGGCGCCATCCAGACCAGCTCCCGCGGTCTCCGTAGCGTAGCGTTGCCCGGTCCCGTTCGGTCGCCACCTTCTTGCACTGACCAGGGCTCTGCTCCTCGCCAGGGGGCTACGACGGCAGCGACGTGGAGTTCAGCTGGCTGCGCGGCAACGACTCTGTGCGGGGCCTGGAGAACCTGCGGCTGGCGCAGTACACCATCCAGCGGTACTTCACCCTCGTCACCCGGTCGCAGCAGGAGACAGGTAACTCGTGGGACAGATTGTACAAAAGCAAGAGAACTGGGTCCGAAATAGGAGCTCTTCTCCACTTCCCCCTTGCGGGGCCTGGGAGCCCCTCTGCAGTGCGGTGGGGCCGGGGGGCTTGGAATTGGTACTTTCACCTGCGCCACACCCAGGACTGAAACGGCCCCCAAGGGGCCCACAGTCTGGCGAGGTAGGTGACAAGGACACCAGAGTTACGTGCTGCGGGGATAATATGACAGAGAAAGGCACAGGAAGAGGATCGGGGGGCGGGGGGCATCAGCACCCCCGTAAATCCCACTTGACAACAGCATTTCCTTTCGTGAAAACGATGGCCGTTCCTGATCCACTAGGCGTGGTGGACAGCAGAGGGCTTACTGTCCATACGGCCAAGTTCAACGTCCCTCGGGGAAACCACTGCCCTGAGAGCAGACGTGACCTCCTGCCCCTTGCTTACCCTCTCAGGAAATTATACGCGGCTGGTCTTGCAATTTGAGCTCCGGAGGAATGTCCTGTACTTCATCTTGGAAACCTACGTTCCTTCCACTTTCCTCGTGGTGTTGTCCTGGGTTTCGTTTTGGATCTCCCTCGATTCCGTGCCTGCAAGAACCTGCATCGGTGAGCAGCTCCAACCCGAGATGTCTTAAGAGCTGGCTTACTAGGCCCTTCCCCTCCTCCTCTCCTTCTGCCACTGTTTTCATTGATAGTCACAGGGCAGTTCCCGGAGTTGGGTTTTTGAGGGAAATAGAGAGAAAGAAGTAGAGAGCGAGACAAAGAGACTACTCTAGGAGTAGTACATTTTTAAACTTAATTTTGTAGTGACAGATAAGGGGATGTTGTGATTAGATGGCCTGTTGCCAATTACTTTGCATACTGACCAACCCCCTCTAATGAGAGGACAGAAGGTTAAACATTTAAAAAACCCCATCGCTCATATCTGTACAAAACGGACAATTCAACCCCGTTCCAGAAGGCCACAGAGTCTCCCAAAAGCGCTCTGTTCCATTTCTGAGTCCTGTGCCCACCTTGCCAAGTCCTGCATGGAGACAGTCTCCCAGGTAACGGTGGAAGGTCCCCTGGCCACTGGCGTGGGAACATTGCCTGCCTGTTTTCCCAGGAGTGACCACCGTATTGTCAATGACCACACTGATGATCGGGTCCCGCACTTCCCTTCCCAACACCAATTGCTTCATCAAGGCCATCGACGTGTACCTGGGGATCTGCTTTAGCTTTGTGTTTGGGGCCCTCCTGGAATACGCAGTTGCCCACTACAGCTCCTTACAGCAGATGGCGGCCAAAGACAGGGTAAGAATTTTGAGGGCCCTATGTATGATTCATCACTTGTGCCATGGGCTGGTCGGTAGAGATGGCCTGGACCTGGTTACTCCTTCCCTACCCTCCTCCCCCCCCCCCCAGCCCCAGCCCATCCCCCATAATTCACTTTGCTCCAGTGACTCTCATCTTGTTCAGGTAGGAGCTTCTGGAAGTCATGATGCCTTTTGAAAAGGATTGTTCTTTTCACCCAATGCAATGAGATATTAATATGTTTAATTTTCCAGCAGAAAATAACTGTTATCTGTATGCAACATAAAGTCACACCTACAAGAACAAGCATCCACACACACAAAAAAAAACCAATATTAAACCAAATGTGATCAGCTACTTACAAGTTTCAGATTAATCTGTAGTTACTATTTAATTCTTTGGTGCATTCTTGTTTTCTTAAATTAGACAAACAATGGTTTACTGAAAAAATGTAGGAAAAAATCAAATTGTGGTAAATTTCTTGATTAGCATAGCTTTCTGCTAATTGGAAATATGGTCCAGCTCTCAGAATAATAATGGCTATTATCTATGAAGCACTTACATGTACCAGGCGCAGTACCGAGCCCTTTGCAAATATTATATCCTTTAAAATGCTCATAGCAACCCAGTAATGACCTTTTCATTTTTATACTTGTGGAATCTGAGGTAGGGGACAGGGAAGGGACTTTTCCCAGGGGAGACAGATAGTAAGATACAGAGCTTGGATTTGAACCTATTTCTCCTTGGCTCTCAAGGCCGACACTTATCTGTTATTCCCACTTGCAATGGGCAACAGGCCATGCTCTTAATAATCATTCTCTCCAGGCCCACGGAACCCTGGGATTCTTTGGAAGCCCAAGTTGATAGACATTGACATATGAAAGCTCGTGCTAAAAAGCAAAAAAAAAAAAATGTTTTAAAGGGATAGAGATCTAATACAGAAGAAGTGCCACCTTTAGCAGAGTGCCAGGACTACACAGGGTCTAATGATGAGGAAATAAAGAATCAGCAGAGCCCGAAGACCCAGGTGTCTTTTCCCTTGTGTTCGACTATTGTGAACAATGTTTCACACAGTCATGCATCCAAGTGACAAAGGCAAATGATCATATGTGCCAGCCAAGGTAGACATGGATTTCACTTATTTTCTTCCTTAAGGAGACAATGGTTAATTACCAAAAAATTCTGAATTTAGTAGACTGCCAAAAAGGGAATTGGAGAAAGACCAAGATTTATCACTGAAGAGCCAGAAAGCCCTTATTTTGCCATGTGTCTAACAGTCACTTCACTCCAGAGTACCTGCTGTGTGCCAGTCAGCTTACCAACCTCCCATAGTCCACCAACAACCCATCGATGGGTACCATTATCATCCCGATTTTACTGTTTAGGGACCTACCACTCAGAGAAATGAGATAACTCATCTAAGACTCCACATCTAGTAAGTGGCCTGGCCAAGGACCTATACTCGGTTCTCTCTGACGTCACTACGCTCCTCATATCCTATGTCGCCCCAACATGTTGGTGAATGGCAATTCCCTGGAATTTCAAGGAGCATCACTATTTCTGTTTGTGGCGAGACCTCCAGACACTGCTGATTTCTATTATTTCTCATAATCAACTACTTCCCCCTCCCTGAAACAGAATGAAATCCCTCAAATGCCTACTAAATGTTTTACATAATTTATACCATTTAATCTTCCAATCAGACTCGTGAGGTAGGTATTAATATCATCACCATTTTGCAGGCAAGGAAATAAAATTTTTAAGGGATTTTGGTGACTAAAATTTCACAAGAGTGAGAGAGAGAATGGAATTTGAACCCAGGCCAGCTAACTTCAAAGCTGTGGATTTAGCATTTAGCACACAGCTCTGCACAGCTAGAGAGAACAATGGTTATTCTTCCCATTGCACAAGCTAAGGACAAGGGATCAGTGCCTACAAGCAGGATGACAGGACTGCTAAGTCTGGCTTACCAGCCAATTTCTGATGCACTCAATGTCACTCTCTATTAAACCTAATTATGCAATACGTAGGCCTCCAAGTATATAAATACCCACTTATTTATTTTGCTGACTTAAGCTTTCCAGCTAACTGCGTTGTCTATGAACTAGGGGATGCCGAAGGAAGTGGAAGAAGTCAATATTACTAACATCATCAACAGCTCCATCTCCAGCTTTAAACGGAAGATCAGCTTTGCCACCATTGAAATTTCCGGTGATAACGTCGACTACAGCAACTTGACTATGAAAACCAGTGACAAGTTCAAGTTTGTCTTCCGAGATAAGATGGGAAGGATTGTTGATTATTTCACAATTCAAAACCCCAGTAATGTTGACCGATATTCCAAACTACTGTTTCCTTTGATTTTTATGCTGGCCAATGTATTTTACTGGGCATATTATATGTATTTTTAAGAGGACATTAAAAATTTGCATGCCATAGGACTTCAACAGAAGGAAATAATGATATAAATGGTATTCTAAGCCAAGTGTGCACCCTAACCCAATGGTGCTAAAAATAACTAAAGTAACAATTTAACATTTATTATCAAAGAATGGACCCCCCAACCATTATTTAAGCTTGTAGATGTTCCAGCATTACAGAGTCTTGTAATAGAAATATCAACCCATTCCTTTTTTATCTTTACAAAAGACATCCCCATGGAGCCAAGATTACAAGCAGTACTCAGGGTTGGCTGCCTGCTCAGTGGCTCCCTGGCCTGCATTTACCTCATATAAAAAATATGAGAGGGAGGCCATTCCATGTACTGAGTAACCCTCAAGTGGCAGGGGTTGTTTCTGAATTAATCATACATGCCATTTATTAAACCTCCGTAGCGCTTATAAAACGCATTGTTGCCTATTTAGGGAGCAACATTTTCTAGTTTTTTGTTTTTGATTCAAATGAAATGTGGGCCTAAGTCAATTTACTGAAAGTCACTATATTAACGCAACACCAAGATGAGTTTTTAATACTGCACTTAATATCACAACAGAATTGTCCCCAAATTCCAATAAGTCCTACCACTGAAAAGTCAGATGTAAGTGAAGAAAAATTTAGTGGATCAATAACCTCACACATAAACCCCTTGTTTCTAAGATACAATGGCTTCCCCAGACTGGAAGGGCTCTGGGGCTTTCTTCCCCATTTGACATGTCTTATCCCTTTATCATTATACACAGGCCAACCCTCCCCATTGCTGGAGCTCTTCCCCATATCAGGGATGGGAATGGAGGCTGTTTGGTTTTTGTGTGTTTTTTAGTGATTCTGGAGTCTTCGTGTGGACTGTTGCCATGAAGACTTGCAGTGTTGAGTCCATTTCTATCTGCTACTCTTTCCCAGCCGCAGACCCCTGCGTCCTTCTAGGAGGAGCTTGCATCCCCAAGCTCTAATGACCAGGAATGATGCTTATTCGATACTGAACTGCATTTCCCAGAAACACGTGGGTTAGCACTAGCCAGCGTGGCCACGCTCACTTCCCTGAGCCTTCGAGCTGGACGGCAAGAGCAGGAGAACGTTGGCCCTGGGTCCTGAACTTTCTGAGGAGCAGTGGAACTTGTTACAGAACCTTTGTTCAGGCTGCAGGTGAGCCGTCCTTTCCAAGTCCAGCCACTCTCACCCTAAAACAAGAAGCACAGCGCGCATCTCTTCCTGCTCCGTGGCCAAGTTCAGCCCACAGCATACGTGGCGATGT